ATTCGGAAGAAAAGGATTGAATTCGACAATTCAATTTATAACTGCTTCATTTAGTAAGTCCTTCTCCTCGACATCCTAGCCGGACTAGCGTTTTGCGGTGTCAAACCGTTCTGAACTGCTGCCGGTTCCTTTTCCGTCACACTAGCTACTCACGATCTTGCGAATCGTTTAGGGCCGTTGCTGACTTTTCATTTCTGTCAGACTAGTAGCTCACGACCTTGTGCGTCGTTCCGGGCCGCTGCTGACTTCCATTTCTATCGGATTAGCGTTTTACGACGTCAGTTGTTCTGAACCGCTGCCGATTCCAGTCACCACTGTCGAACTTTGAGCAGTAGCAAATCATATGTATTTGTCATGCCGCTCCGAAAATCAACCGTGATTCTAGCAACGCGATATCCGAAACCGAACTTTGCGGCGGAGAACCGCTGCCCGTCGAGCGAGCAAACCAAAGCATACCAAATTCCGTTTATCCGGCAATAGCCTAAGTAGTATCGGTGCTCATTTATACGCAAGGATTTAAAATATTGAAAATATTAACAATGATGTTAATAACGAACGCCCAGAATCAAACATAGTAATAATGCCAATGTATACTAAATTCACACCGAACTTCATCACACGTTCAATTATTTAATTCAACTAGCGTAAGAATATTTTTGGATAAACCTAAATGTTAATACTTTGAATAAAAATGATTTATATGCTCATAAAAATGAAAACGGCTTCAACTAATTGAACTTCGAACTTTTATCCTGAAAAGTCATTCCTGTAATCTCATTACGTGATCACCATGTCCTGTCCCAGGTAAATTAGATTCGTTTTTAAGACCTAAAAGAGGACCGACGAGTGAAAAGACGTTAGACAAGTAATATCGGCAAGTTTGTTGACTTGACTACGTCGTTGAACAGTCTCGCTCGACTCGCATGCTTGCCTTATCTCATTAGGTTAGTGTGCCGAGATATAATACACAAAAGTGTTGTGTGTCAAGTTGCGTTCTTCCGTTAGGACCCGATCGTAACCGTAGGTCAGGACGTAACATATTTATTCAAATAGCAATTGTTGAATAAAAATATTGAAAAGAAGGCAGTGTAAGTTCCGTATAAATTTGCTTGAAATTAGCACGTACAAACGGTTTGCGTTTGATAATATATCTCACCGATAGCATTTCTTTATAATTAAATAATATTTTAAGGCTCGTGAAAATGTCATACAAGAATATAAAGGCCGATACGAGCCATTCCCAGGATGTTGAGCAGGAACTTGAACGTGCATACATATATGTATACATCTATAACAAGTATTACTTGT